ACTCAAACGCATTCATCTGTCCTTATCTAACATATTGCAACGCCATCTCTTAGAAAGAGATCAACTAAAATACTGCTCGGTTTCATGTTTCACTAAACAGTCATATATCGTCGATTTCTCACGCGCTAGACACGCAATTTCATTCCTTGCGCTAATCTTTTTATTTAGGCGTCAAAACTTAATTCTAAAGATACGACTGTAATCGTCTATTTATTCTACATGCTCCTGCCCTAATTTCGAGCATATAATAACGTGCATATAATTTTTTCACCAAGTAAATGTTTGGTGAGCTGATAGCACATGGATACAGGAATCTGTAATTTATTATTTTTCCCAGTTTTGGACACAAAATACACCAGGAGCAGGTACATTAGCACGGATATTTCAATCGTGGAGAAGGAATTTTTATTCTGTGCAACTCTAATTCGAAGAACCGCGCAAGGAACATAAACGCTTGCTTTATCGGTAAAAAAGAAGACTCCAGCATCCCCGTAACGTCAGTCGCGCTTCTCTTACAAATCTAGGGCTGCTGTCTATTTGGATGCTTTCAGCGCTTTTCACTACTTCTATTCTCATTTTACGTCTAATAAACGATAAAGACAAAATGATGATTACAAGTGCTTAAAGCGCGTGAACGTCCAAATTGATCGCAGCCTAGGATTCTATTTGCAGTTACAGGTTTTGAACCGTCTCTCATGTCCTCCCTCAGATTTCTCTTTGATCTCGGCTAGATGGCACGACATGTTCCTTTTTAAATTTCAAATTAGTTTTGTAAAATGACTGTATACTTTGGAGATTTTTTTATTTCTGTATTATATACTGCACTAAAATTTTTTTTTCTTTAACTAAACATTAATCTTTATTAAACATATATCTACTTCACTTTAAGTTTTAAAAGTGAATATACTAGTATGCTAGTTCAGCTATAAAAAAACAGATTTTTTATTGTTGACCAATAAGTAGATTATATCACTACTTCAAATTACCCCTACAGCATAAAGTTGCACAAAAGTTGCAGTAACACTGCTGCAACATTGCAGCAACATTGCATGTTGTAGCAATATTGCAGAGATTTTACAGCGATATTGTTGCAAATTATGTGCTCTATATGGATGAGGAGGATAGCGCCCAACGTTTCTTTCTTTTTTTTCCCGAATAGAAACATTTTTTTTCGCAGAGATGACTGATCCGGATAGTCATTTGAGCTTAGCACACTCATTAATATTGCGGACGTATACGTGCGCACGCATACAAGCGTATTTATTATTATTATTAGACAAGTTCACACGTATATGCTAGCATGCTCACGTTTATATTTTATCTTTGAAAAGAATCCAATCGATTTATCTTAAACCTCAGCCATCGTGCTTTATTTGGCTATCGCTAGGAAGGAGGCAAAATCTGATAAATACGCAGTCCAAAAAGTTTTATACATTACATATTTGTATTGCATGTTCGATACCATCTTTTATACTCTTACACAATAATTACGACAGGTTTATAGTTGCGACACACGATTCGATAAATATTAATTGGATACACACGCTTGCCTCTTTCGATGAATTTTTATGCTTCCTATATTTGCAAATTCACTGGCACTCGCAGTTTGCGTTGTTATTCATGCGAGTGACGATAACTGCTTGCGAGGGCTTCGTTTGTTATCGTACGCACAAAGCGGAAATGCATGGCACCGCGTTCACCTGGCGGACACGAATTTTAAATATTTTTCAACATGCTTATATAATCAATGCTCGGCTAAACACGATTATCCCCTTTTTAAAACTTGATGCATTTTCATAAAAATCTCGAAAATAGAGGAGAAAATGGAGAAACGCCGATGCATTTCTTCATTTGTCTTTTGACTTACTTAATTTACTTATTTTCTATATTCGAATCTATTTTCGAATCTTGAGTTTCACTTCGACGATTGTTCCAGCAAACATTTCACTCGATGTTAAATGCAATTTTGTCTGTACATATTTATGAAATAATTTAAGTTGACACGTAAATTATAAATGTTTGTCAATAACATACAATAAGTTTTCACCGAGAGTTTGAATCGGGTCAGAGTCGAATTAGAGTGAGCTCTGCTTATAAGTGAAAATAAAATTTTAAGGTAAGATTCAACTTAAAAATTTTTGGTATTTCCACTGTAAAAGCGCCCGACTCGACCCAATTCGAATCTTCGGTGGAAACTTATTACAATTAGTAATAGACTACTGATTTCTTTTTCGAGCGCGCTGCATGCTGAGATCATGCAGGAAGCGAATTGAAGGTTATCGAGTCAAGCGTTAATTTTATCCGCGTGATATTACACGCGAGGTGTCTCTCCGCGTAAGGATTACGTTAATACAATTGCTTATCTGCGGCGAGTGAATCATGTCTTATTAGCGCATGTGCAGTTAAATACCGAGTATATATCTACCTTTCCCCTGACAGCATATTTATTTTCGGTGAAAGGCAATAGAAAAGCGATTCTTCGTGACTTTTAGAAAAGTGAAGTTCCGAGCGCGACTTTCTCGAAAAAAAAAACATATAAAGAGAAATTTGGCGTTTGTTGTAAAAATAACAAAGGCAATCTGCAAGTAATTCTACATAGAATAGGTTTAGTCGATTGACCGTCATGACCGAATGTGCATCTTTTCGCTGAATGACATCACTATTTTTTCGTGGTGGATTAGTCACGCCGTTGATAAGTCATGCTTGTACAGTTCGGTGACAACGTGTTAATGTAGTCCTGGCCAAAAAGAGAAAGTTTTTCACCGTCATGACGACTCGTGTATATTTAACATAATTGATCGTGCATACATATATTATTTATATCCAGCGCGAGACAGTTAAAATAATGACATATCTCGTTTTATCACGATATTCATTCATTTACTCTATTCGTAATATAAACAGAAATCATGAATAAATTTACTATAAATAAATATTAACCAAAGACACATAGAGAATGGACTGCGCGATCCGTATCTAAGTAGGGTATCAAATGTGGTCGACAATAATGAGAGAGAGGGACCGTGGGAGACGGCCAATCTCCCTCTCATTCTCTCTCCCATTACACCATTGAATGGAAAGAGATAGAAATGGCCGTCTGCCACGGTCCCTCTCTTTCATCCCTATCGACCATTTTCACACACGGATCGCGCAGTCTATTCTCTATATCTTTGGTATCAACTATAAGTATTTATTTAAAAAATGAAAAGAAGAATTATTTGACGCGATTTTAACTTGTGGTAATTTAGGAAAAGTTTAGAAAAATTTAAGAAAAATTTCTGAATATTGAAGTATGCCTAAATATTTTATGAGGCGGAACTTAATTTTTATAAGCTCGCTTGTCCTTGAGAGAGAAATTAATTCTATTTCTTTTTAAATTAATTTTTAAAAGAAGGTTAATAATTACTAAGGAGAATAAAGAATTTTTAAAAGAAGGTTAATAATTACTAAGGAGAATAAAGAACTTGGAAAATTGAAGACAATTATAATTTAAAAACCGTACGCTTATTTGTAACGGCAGATCCTCCTCATTAATTAATGAACAACTTTTGATTTCACAGTAATTACAACGTTACAATCTGCTTGTTAACAGATCTTCAGACTAATCATTCCTTCTATGTTGAAATCCCATGGCAATGATTCATGTTTCCTCCTTGTACGACTAATCGGATCGCAACGTAGGAGAGGAATGTCGGATAGAACCTTCGAGAGGGAAAGGACACGTCCTTCGTGCAATGTTGAAGTGGCATCGGCCACTTTATTTAGAAAGCGGGAATAATCGAGCGTTAAACGTCGTCATCGTGTTTTACACGATGAGCGAATGGATAGGACGACTGACGAGGAAACCGCGCGAGAGGCGGTACATCCATCACGTGCAAATCGGATCCCATATGTGTGCACGCAGCATAAGCGATTGTTGGCAATGTTGGCATGCCGGTTGCGTTCGGTTGCGTTTACGTCGCATACTTATATGCGTCGCAGCGTGCGCGCTGCGCCCGCGAGAAACTTTACACCTACTTACATTCATGTTTTCGCAGCCAACTTTGGAATTGGAGAGGCCGTGACGGATTTACCTCGAATCCAGGCGCACGTTAACATTAGACCGAAAGAAATAACGTTATGAAGTCTAGAAAAGCTGGTATACGTGACTAGATTTGAATAAACCGCACCAAGTTTTTATTACCAGAATTATTTGTAATCGCTAAACGTCTTGGATGAAACGCAATTTTACCTAAGAACAGTCTGTAAAGAAAAAGATATTTATGTACAGTGAGAGCAAAAAGTATTCATACAAGGAAATTTGTTATAAAAAAAGCCTTATTTGTAGAAAATAAACGTTAATTAGCAATTTTATACAATAAATATATTCTGTTCTAACATAAACAAACCAGCTTCGCATGTATTCCTGATTTTAGAAGCTAAATTTCTCGTCACGAATACTTTTTGAGCATTCAAACAATACACTGAGAAAAAAATACTGTTAATTCAATTAAAGTCTATATTACGGGCTGTCATAAATTATTATTTCAGTAATCAAGGCCTTTATGTTAATAAAAATATACATGAATTAATCATTTATGTTAGTGACAGCCCGTAATATAGACTTTAATTGAATCAACAGTATTTTTTTCTCAGTGTACAATTTTTAATTTTCGCTTATTTTTCAGATAATATATTTTGTATAATTGTTACACATCTTTTTGGTATATATAATTTTAAGAAATATACAGTCTATTTTATTCTTTATGAATAAATTGTTAATTATCCAACAAGAAATGATCGTCAATTAAACATCGAACGACGTCAAATTGATGTTGAAATCATCGTATTTATACTGATTCGACATCAATTCGATGACTCATTTCTCGCTGGATAATATTTACTTTTTAAAAATAAAGTTTTAAAAAAAAATATTTTCTTTGTACGAATACTTTCTGCACTCACTGTATATATATATAAAGTAAGAGAAACACAGCAGAGAGAGAACACGCCTAGATCGATATCGAGAAAAGAATACTTTCTGCACTCACTGTATATATATATATAAAGTAAGAGAAACACAGCAGAGAGAGAACACGCCTAGATCGATATCGAGAAAATCGGAAAAAGTGTATTTTAACGTCCGTGCATTTATATGTATAAGCGAACACGCGGAAACAAGTAAAGTAGAACGTGACATCGATAAGAAGTCGATAAGAAGGCATAATTGCAAATCTGAATTCTAGATCTTGTAAAAAGACTATTTGGCTTTATCACGTATCATCTAAGATTATGCGTGTCGCGTGTTTGCGCGAAGATAAGAGATACGGTGATTATGGGATCTTATAAATGTTTCCCATCTCTGAGTTAATATCTTGAAAATTAAAACTTGCACGTTACATCTTACGTAACAAATATCGACAGTGTTTTTTGTACATGTCTCGTCTTCAGGAGAAACTTAAGGTTCGTATTAATCTTTTACAGTGATTCACAAGGCTCTCACAAAACATGTAAAAGTGAAAACGAAATAAAATCGGACAAGCAAAAGTATACTTTGTTAAAATAAAAAATTTTATGACTCCAAGAATAAATCAAAAATAAGTAAAATATAACCCTCTCGATTGTGGGTGCAAATAACGGATACTTATAAGGCGATAAGATATAATTCGCAAATTGAAATATATGTACTTACCAATGATGTACTTGTAATTAACTTTGTTGGTAAGTACATTTCAATTTTCTTATATTTGTACTTTGTTGTTCGAAGAATAGCGTTTCTGAGACGTCATAATAATCCACACAAAAATATAAAAATTTTTATTATACAGTAAAAAAACATTTTGTAGTTATGTTAAAACAAATTCTTGTTAAAATTATTGTGTTGAATTTTTAACATATCCGAGTTTTAATTTAACATAATATGATTGCGTGTTATTTGAATATTTTATGTTAAATCAAAATGTAACATTCTCAGGGTTAAAATAACACAGTTTATAGGTAAGTAAACAAATAATATAAAAATAATGTAGTTTTAAAACATAAATTTGAAGTATAAATGAATAAAATGTGTGTGTTGATTTAATTTATTATAAATGTTAATTTTACTGAAGAGAAATATGTTCTGTACTACTAGTTACATATTTTATATGTAAACAAGTACAGATATTTTGTGTTATTTTCTTTTTGTAATAGTAAATATCTGATAAATCTATGTATTGCCTAAACTAAAAATGTAAAAATAGCATCTAATTTCAATAAAATTTAACATTATAAATGTGTCAAGTTAATATAAAAGTTGTTTTTAAGGTATGTCAAAGCATTACACTTCTTGTGTTCATTTTTTACATAATATTTGTGTTACTTTCTAACATATTCATCTTACGTTAAATTAACAGAAAAATTTGGGTGGAGCGTTATTTAAAATTCGATGTAGATACCCATAAATTGAAAAAAAAAGTTAAATAAACCTCACATGCGAGGCGAATCTTACACACACACATACGTGTTGCAGTAAAAGCAAGTGCATTACATAGGCACACACATACAGTCGGCGCGACGACTGCGCAGCCCGAATGCGCAGTCCCCGTAAAAAGCCGCTCCGCGCACCGCGCGATTCCGCCGTCGCTCTTTGGATACCGCGCACACCGCTGACACCGCGCGTGTTCGCTTCGCTCGTTCGGAGCTTCTCAGTTTCTATTCGGGGTTCGCTTCAGCTCGATTACCGTGCAACAGCGTGAGGACGGTACGCACAGTGACGGATACACACACCGTCGCGGGTGCGTTCGATCTTCGCCGCGAATCCGCGATTCGCGCGTCTCTCGCGAAATTCTTCCCCCGCGCGCGAATTATCATCGATCGATCGCGCGATCTCTGGATCCGAGAGGACCGGCCACGCCGGCGAAGATTTCTCTCACCTTCGCGGCATTCGATTCGAGGGGAGAGTGGTGCGCCCTGCGCATTTGTGCCGTTGATTGTCAAGTGATTTAAAGAGAAGAAGAGGAACGGACGTGTGAGAGAAACGAGGGAAAATGCTGCCGCCACGAATACTCGGCCTCCTGGTGCTTCTTCTCGCCGTGCAAGGTGAGTCTTGATTCCGCTATATTGACGCCTCCAACTCTGCATCGTCCGATCGACGCTCGATGAACGCGAACGTAACCAAGGAACAAGGTTGATGTTAAAATTATATTAAAGCGACCACAAATAACGTCAGCTTGCCACCCGGACTCAGTCGTAAAATTGTTAACTGAAAGTTTCCGAAACTTCTAATTTTGTTTACTTGGGTAAGTTATTTTATTAAAAACAAAAAAAAGAAGAGAGCACCTTATTTCTGATCGTTGTTATTTTATGATAACGCGCTTCTCTAAACAGAGACTTTGACATTTGAAACAAAATTTATCGGAGCTTCTGATAAGAATTTGTTATCTGCTCGTTATTCACCTCGCATATTTATTGTGTGCGAGGAAAATTGAACGTTTTATTTTCGCGCCGTTATGCTTTATGAATATTTTCTCTATGTAAAAATCTAAGACAGACTCGTATTTTATTTCTTGCTAAGATTTAAAGGTCAGATAAATACAGGTTGCGTGATTCCTATAATGTCAATTAATTTACGTCAATTAATTGAATATCAATTAGGATCAATTCGTATATTTAACGTCCATTAATTTAATATGAAATAATTCACATCGACGATAAACGAAAGAAATAGAAATGAGGATGAAAATAGTGCGCTGCGATGGTTATTGTATTTATATTTTTATCGTATTTGCCTGGGTAAAAATACACCGTGAGAATGAGCGTAAAATAAAACGGAGAACGAGCGTAAGAATTATACAAAATCATTTACGACGGAAACGTATACCCTGCCGTCATAAATCGTGCGAATTCTCGCTTGCTGTTCGTATAACTTTACGTACCTCTCTTTAAAACGTGTAGCGCGCTAAGAGCATTCCCCATTGCGAAACTGTCCATTTATTATCGCGCCTCAAAGGCATCGCTTCTGTAACGAAGACCGCGTTAAAGGCGCACGTTGCGTTATGATGATAGCGTGGAGTAGATCGCGGTAACAGACCATCATTACTCCAACATAGCGAGAGAACGTCAATATCGATCTTTGCTCGCGCCTCATTACTCGCCGGCAAACATCGAGATTGCGCTGGCGTGCATTGTCGATCCTTCGCGAGATCTTATTTAAAGATCGCGTTCACGTTAATGTGTGACAATTCACTCGTACGACGCGAAATCATTTTTTCAAAGGAGTAAGGCACGTACTATGGAACTGTTTAGAATGGATTCTGATCAGAATTATTCCATTTTCCCTTAAAAAAAAAGACTTTATAGAAATCTGGAGAATAATTGAACAATATTAATATAAAACTCAAGCAAATAAGAGCTAGAACACAGTTATTATTTGTGTCTGATTATACAAGTTTTTTTTCTTCTTTAATTTATGCAAGTCAAAAACAACAAATCAACGTTTCGGTTGTTTGCAACCATCAAAATCAGCAATCAATATAAAAAGGTGTATCTAATTATTCTTCGTAAAATAGAAGAATGCAAGTACAACTTCTCAAAACCTCGAGTGGTTCCTCATTAGAAAGTGAGAACAGCACTTCATATTCAAATTGTTACGTACTAAAACACGTATTCTACTATACAAAAAAAAATTGACATTAATCAACTCACCGGTTTTCAGAAATGGTTCTCTCATTCTGTTATGAAAATTTCTTTTAAAATTCATGTATCTCAGGAAAGTCGTTAGACATGTGTTCACGTCAGCGTCAGAAACACAATTAATAATACATAAAAGCTATATAAATCAATGTGCCGTCAAAAAGACAATAAATATATACAAATAGAAACAATCCAGCAAACATTGCATTACACATATAATACATTCCAAAAACATAATTGTTAATTAAATTGGCTGAAAATTAATGTATATCCATGGTGAAAGAATTCCGTATCTGTTTGTAAATTAAATGTGTTTGTTTGTAATTTAATATGAATCATTTCTGACACTAGTTTTTTTTTGTACAATAGAGAATACGTGTTTTTATAATTATTTTATTTTGCCATTTAGTATATAACAATTTTGATATTGGGTATGAAGAGCTGTTCTCACATTCTAATGAGAAACCACTCGAGGTTTTGAGAAATTGTACTTGCATTTTTCTGTTTTATTAAGAATAATTAGATACACATTTTTATATTAATTGCGGATTTTAAGAATATATTTTAGCCTGAAGATGGTTGCAAAAATACAATCGAAACATCGAATTTTTGTTTTTGACTTAAATGAATTAAAGAAGAAAAAAATTTTGTATAATCAGACACAAATAATAATTGCGTTCTAGCTCTTATTTGCCTGAGTTTTATATTAATATTGTTTATTGAGAGCTCTTTTCATTATTATTAAATAATTGAACAACTCCGATCGAAATCCAGTCTGAACGATTCCATAATACGTATGTAGAAGGATATAAGTCCAAACGTTTGCTTTTCCAATTAAAATATCTTACATGTTATCGTACTTTCAATCTACGTTGATCTATACACATAGAAGGTTTATTTCGTTTTTTTAATTGATAATGACTTAAAAAATATTTTTTAAATAATAGTGAAATATAGGAATGTTAGGACCGGTTTGTTTTGCGATATATAATATATGAATGTTATTTTATCGATCACGGTAACTAGCGTCGAAACATATGTCTAAACTTTTTTTGGGCGCCTCGAAATGAAAAATCGCATCCTGTAAGTATTCAGATATCAATGTAGATTTAAAGCGAATGTGGAATGAAAAAGGTGCCTTAACATCTTCTGTATGAATGGTTGCTAACAACAATAGCCACTATTGTACGACTAATCGGCGAGCACGTCGTGATCGCTGCCGCGGAAGAAGCAATTACGCATTAAAAAAAAGCTTAATTACGCTTCCTGGTGTACCTACGCACCGGAAAACATCGCAGTCGCGCCGGGGCGAGTCGGTCGCGTCACTTGAATTGATCGTCAAGTCGCTGAACAGTATTGATTACACTAGTTCTACTAAATTGCAACTAAAACAGAGAAAAAATTATTAACATTTACTTCTCTTTTTGAGCAGATTTTTGAAAAATTCCTTTTTTGTCTCGGAACGATTAATGTCGTTAACCTTGAACTAAGTAACGATTGAGAGATCACGTAGAAAATAATTTTTATTATTGAATCAGTATAAAAAATTTTTTATTTATTATTCGTAAGTATACTTTCTTGTGAATAAAGCTCAAAAAAAGATCCGGGATCAGCAACGTAATAATATATAATTTGGGGAGCTAAGGGTTTTCTTAAAATATATAATATTCATTTCCGCACAATGATCGAGCGGCGTTTTGCTCATGCCTCTTTTCCGGCCCCATCGTGCACCGATTACGTAATTCGCCATTAAAAATCGAAAGGACGTACTTAGGGATCACAACGGGCGAGGGGAAACGAAGATTCTCGCAGTGGTCGTCTGGCAAAAGGGAAGTCTGGCAAAAAAGCGCGTTTGCCGAGGAGAATTCCATTGAGACTTCTCCACGTGAGGGGTACTCCGCGAAGGTGCGTGGCTCATCGAAGAACCGGTGGCGATGGCTGAATGGCCCGAAAATAAAATGAACGAGACCGACTGATTGGGTGGAGGCAGCGATGAGGTATACACGGGGGGGAGGCCGGCCAGGTGAACGCGTGTTCCAGGTAGGAGAGGGCTCAAGAAAGCAGATGGTCGAAGCTGTTCGGCCGATGGTCGCTCGACGATAACGAAAAGTTCGACATTCACAACTTTCTGGTAACTGCTCATCCGCTCTTCGCAGGAATGCTCCTCACAGCCTCCGACGTGCATCCGATAATCTGCTCTGTTTTTATTCCTTTTTATAATAATAGGAGCGGCTTCCTTTCTTTCTTATCCCGACAGACGGACCACCGCCACAGATCGCCGACTCGTTTTATGCGTGACTGCGATCGTGAAGAGCCTGTCCGAACTAGTAGTAGACGAATTAGGGATTAGGAAATAACGGGAATACGTCTTCCTTCGTCATTAATCCTTGAACGTGCTAGCACGAAGAAACAGGAAAAATAGGTCAGCCTTGATGGACTACTATTCGTTTTTTTAATTCCATTGTTATTGAAGATGTTTTTATTTCGAAATCTTTTCTTCCAAGAAAATACGAAATATAGGCTTAATTGAATTAATTACGAATTGAATTAATTATATAATAGGATAACTGAATGGCGGTAACAAAATTTAATTTATAGTTCTTTGTCTGAAAAGCATATACCACGAACACCAGATAACAGTGGCGATTATTTCAAATCCTTTATTAAATACATGGAATAAAAAATAAACGTTTCGGTCCCAATCGGACCATCTTCTGCAGTATTTTTGATTCCATGTATTTAATAAAGGATTTGAAATAATCGCCACTGTTATCTGATGTTCGTGGTATATGCCTTTCAGACAAAGAATTGTTTTGTTTTTATTGAAACCACGGTGTATTTATATTTTTAATTGTTTAATTTATAGTAATTAAATCAAAATAACAGTAAAATTGTTCAGCGATTGTAGTTGTCCATTTATTCAATAACACTAAAATTATAACAATTTAAAGTGTTTTTAATTCCTTGTTACAGACTGAGAAATAGTTAATTAATTTAATTTAAAAGAATGTTATATGATATCACAATATAATATTATCGCAATTACTCCAATTAGACAAAATTAACCGCATCTATTTTTATAGCCTATAATATATATAATCGTTATATATGATAGAGAACACCAATAATCGGTCAAAGTTAAATGTTACGAATACAATACATATTCTTCATTTAAATTTAATTATGTCAGATGTGACTGTGCGCCGAAACGTTCGGACATTAAACACCATCGATCTGAGACGTTAATAATATAAATATGATAAGGCGCCGAATTTGGACATTCCTACATATGAAATAATCCCCCTTAAATTAATTCGGTAAAGAACTTATTGCAAAAAATATTACCTCAGCCAGGATAATATTTTTCGCAATAAGTTCATTACCGGATTAATTTGAGGGGGATTATT